TTTTTTTTTATTCAAGAAAATTCTAGAGAAACTTTCATTTTTCCTAAAATTATTTCAACTTCTCAGACAATACAATACTAGTTAAAATGTTCTAAAAACTCTAGACAATCTTGGGAAATAAAATTCCTCTAGAATTTTTTTTATTTGTAAATACTGAAGTATTCTTCAAAAATAGGTATAGATTTTTTTTTGATTTTAGAAAACTAATTTTTTGGAAAACGCAGTGTTCGAATTATTTTCAATTAAGAAGCTTTTAAGAAATTGATTTTAAATTGAAATTTTCAAATTTGTAATTAAATTAAAATTGAAAATTAATTAAAGAGTTCAATATTGAAATTTTTCTAAATTAATTTAAAATACAAATTTAATTCCATTTGAGAATTAAATTTAAACATAAAATCAAAATAAATTTTTTTTTATAATTATAAATACATATTTAAATAATGTTAAATTCATTATATTTAACATGAATGAATCAAAATTTGAAAATAATTTTTTTTATAAAAAAATTTTTATTACAATCGAACACTATATTTACAAACACACCACTCCGAGGACAATTAAAAAGAAACTTAAATAAGCCAAAAAAAATAAACTACATTGAATTATATATTAGAAAAAGACTAAAAAAATTGTGTGAAAGTGAAAAAGTGCGTAGACATTGTAAAAAAATCCGAGTGTTAATTAGATGCAACACAAATTGTACTAACGTTATGTAAAGTGTGAATTTTACTTTTAAGAAAAATAAAATAATTTATACAAATACTACAAAATGTAAGAACGTTGTTATATATATCAAAATAATTTAAAAAAGCAAAATATGTCATTATTGGTTACCAAAAAGAAAGAAATTGAATTTAGTCAAGAAAAATCGTTAAATTTCGTCCCAAAAATATTTATGTTTTGAGAAATTGTCGATATTGAATGATATATTGTAATAATGTAAATCGAATGAAAAGGAAGGCAAAAAAAATGTTAAAACTTTTAAGGTGAGAAGATACAAAATAGATAATTCGAATGCGTTCGACACGTTGAAAAAAATACATAACTGGATTAAACATAGGAGTAAATCTTGTATAAATTAGTCTGTATAAAGTTTAAAAAGAAAAAGAGAAAGAAATAATTCATTAAATAATTAATAAAATAGGTGCAGTCGTTAAGATTCCCTTTTTGTAAATAATAAAGTAGTTCTCTAAAGAGGACATGTACTGCGTTATATTATATATATAATATAAATATATAATTTAGTAGATAAATTAATTTTTAAACAGTATGGGACAGAAAAATTAACATTACTTCAAAAAAGGCCTGTCAAACAATTTTCTTCGACTGAAAGAGATTTTATTTCATTTTTATCAAATAATTGCTTATTTTAATATGAACATATTAAAATAACTATTTCTTATTCTATATATGTATATTATTATGTAGAACTAATAGTCAATTAAATTTTCTTTATAGTTTATTATTTCTTCATAAAGTCAAAAAATTTTATTAATTAGTTTCAATTGTATACATTAAAATAAATTGTTATAGGTAATTAGTAAAAATTAAAGGGTTTTTAGCAAAATTAACAATAAACTTCTTTCTCTGCTGGTAACATTTAAGACACTGAAATCTATATATCTCGAATGCTGTCTGCCATTGATGGTCGCTAACCGAGAGAGAGGTCATCTTCCTGTATCCCTCTCCTTCTCTTACTAAACTGCGCAGGCGTAGTACAATATGTTCCAAAAGTTTACTGTTAACTGTGTTATGTCATGTTCACGTATATGTACTGTTAAATATTTTCTAATGGACCTGTACCAACAAAGAGGGGAATACGAGAATCAGACCTCTCTCTCGGCTCGCGACTTTCAATGGCAGATAGCATTCCAGATATTTATAGAGTTCAGTGATTTAAGATAATACCAAAAAAGAGACCATCGGTCATACACGGAAAGAATTTCGAGACATCACATGCGCTGCCTACCACGCATCGTTTGTGCTTGAGTTATGTACGTGTGATGTGCATTTTCGAGACATAGACTACGTTATAGCAGACGATCTTGCGATGCGCAAAGCAAATGCGCAAAGAAAACACGCCTCATGTCTCGAAAATGCACATCACACGTACATTTTCGAGACATGGGACGTGCGATGTGAATGTACAGCGCATGCCATGTAGTTCTCGAGGCATCCGCACAGCAGATGTCTCAAAATTCTTTCCGTGTAGAGATTACTAACACAGGGTGTCTACTAGTCCTGGAAGTCTTGGAAGTCCTGGAATTTGAAAAAATGTCCTGGAATTTTAATTTTTGTCCTTGAATTTTTTATATTTTGCTTTTAAATTTTCAAAAATTTCTAATTTTGTCAATCAAGTTAAAAAAAAATTCATTAAATAAGTAAAATGAAAATTTACTTAAGTAATTAACTAATTTTGCTTCCTCGTGGAGGAAGCTTTGTAGTCCTTTCGTTTATAAAACTTTTCAAAGTGGCAGAAACAAATTTTTTTCTTTATAGAAACATGTTATATGAGATCCTGATCAATTGTCCGGATGTATGTGTGTGTGTGTGGATCCCTTTTTTGTTTAGAAGATAACTTTAACAAGTTTTAATGGATTTAAATAAAATTTGGTAGGCTCATTTATCATATTAATATCTCAAATCTGACCAAAGGATTTTAAAAAATACCTCAAAAAAAAATTTATCGTCTTTTTTCCAAAAATTTTTTTTAAATCGAAAAAATATTTAAATAGAAAAATTTAAGGTTATATATAATAAAATCGTATTCCTTACGTCAAGACGAATCGATCGATATACATATATAAAGTATACATTTGAGGTAAATTTAAAGAATTAATGAAAGTTAAAAAATCAAAAATTCTCATTTTGACAATAAAATTTTGTGATTTTTTAAATTGAAGTTTATGTATGAAATAATTGTATTCCTTACGTCAAGACGAATCGATCGATATACATATATAAAGTATACATTTGAGGTAAATTTAAAGAATTAATGAAAGTTAAACAATCAAAAATTCACATTTTGGCAATAAAATATTGCTTTCTCCACGAGGAAGCAAATTTTTTGCTGATCGTAAAGAGGAAGCAAAATGTTCATGTAATGAACATCTGAATTTACAACTTGTTTTAATAATTTCTGAAAACAATAGTTAAACTAAAAATTTTTTTATTCCTTAAAGTCATCCAATTTAATGTCCTGGAAAAATAAGAAACTTGTCCTGGAAAGTCCTGGAAAAGTCCTGGAATTTTAATTCAGATTTTTAGTAGACACCCTGTAACATATCAAGTACGAAAATAATTGCCGATCAGTTCCTTCATTACCAACTGTTGGTAAAGTAGTTTTCGTTGATAACTATTCTAGAACCCTCTTAATTTTAACTACTACTACACGGAGAGAAATCTGTTACGAATATTTCACAAGACTTACGCGTGCGCTTTTCACATGAGCTTCATTTGCTAATATCGCAAAGACTTGTGCTAATTTTGCACAGCTTGTGCGAGTTTTGCTCGAAAGCCATGAAAAATCAGCATGGATTTCTTGCAATTTACGCAAGGTTGTGTCTGTGTTATTTTCCAACGGACTGCTCATGCGTTATTAGTAACAGACTTCTCTCCGTGTAACATTATTAAATGCTCTCTGTAATTATAGAGACCTCAATTTATTCTTATTGAAATTCAAAAATTTCTTTCAGTCAAAGATCAAAAAAATCACAAACTCTTGATGAAAATTTGATTCAATTTGAACAGTTGAAAATTGTTGATAATAATTGAATAAATTTATAGAATAAAATATTGAAACTGATAATCATAATGAACAAAAAATTAAATGAATGTTACATTTATTAATAGAGGTTTTAAATTATAAATTTAAAGAAATGCATATAATAATAAGCAAATTAAGTTTTTCTTAAGTATATGTTCAATATAAAATTATTGTTATTTTTTATAATTATATTTTTATATATTGATTTATATATTATTAATCATTAGTATATATTTACATAGTTTTATAGACTAACATTGAATGAGATTTTCATCGATTAATAATTGCGATATTACATAGTATCCAATGTTATGTGAAAAATTTTAAATAATGCAAAAGAAACGTCGATTGATCAGAAGTAATAGAAAAAAAAATACATTAATCTTTAAACAATTATACACCCAGGCTTAAATAAAGAGAAAAAATACAGGACACACACACACAGACACACACAGAGGTGTTAACTTGGAATAAATGTTACCAATATATTTACACTCTTGTCATATTTAAATTATTTAACTCCCTTATTTAAAATTTAAAAAAATTGTTGCTTTATTGTGAAAAACAGTTTTTGTTGTTCAAAAAGTGACTACCAATGTGTTTGAACTAATGGTGCAGGGATGTAATTTTCAGGGATTCGCCGCTGGATAGTAAAACATCAACACATAAACTTCTGACTCCCATTGAATTAACATGGCAGTCAAAATTTTATGACGTGTGGTTTTACTTTCGAGACTCAATTGCAGCTTTAATTTAAGGAAATATATATTCAATAATAATTTTAATACTTATAATTAAAATTTAATCCTATAAAATATTTATCAATAATTCTTGAACGACTGGTAATCACTGTCAGAAGCAGACAAACGGTTTTGTTCATTCGACAGACATTTATTCAATCCCATCATCTTTTTTTAATCAGTTTTTATTATCAAAAAATCCAGATTAGGTTATTTTCACTTTCCAATGATTTATTTATGCGTTTATTTACAGTAGTATCGTAATAAATTGTTTACTTAATCTTAATTACTAATTGGAACTTTTAAAATACTTTTTCTTTCGATCATTGTCATTAGATGATAAGAATAAAATGTTTTATGTAAATCGGGATTTTCAAATATTTTTAAAGATACTTATTTTTATTACTACAAAAATGCATAATTCTGAAAAAGATAATGCATTAGAAAATTCGGATGATACTTGCGTCGTATATATATCATTTTGCCAACGACCTCGCGATGAGATAACGGGAGTAAATTTCTCAATCTCCAATCTTTATTCACTGTTTATATGAAGCAAACCATTCAGCACAACTGAACTTAATTTTTCATTTGCACACGTAATATGGATTATTCAAAATTTTTGTCAAAAGTCGTCAATACGCGGGGTCCCAATCTAATTCGACAATTGAGTAAGTATTTTTAAAGTTTGTTATATTTTTCTTTTATCTATACATAGGTACACTCATATGTCTTTTATGAGAAAAAAGACATTATTGTGTTCTTAAATTTAAATAAATACGTTTATATCTAAATATTTAAAAATCGAGTATTATTATTTGTTTAACTAATTCGTTATAGTTATCTAATCGCAACCCATGTGACCATATACGTGAGTGTATGAATGCTATTGTAATAAATATTAAAAAATTAGATAAAGAGTAAAAATCTACATTGACTAAATTAGAATCGTAACCTCAAAGTACAGATAATAATAAAATAATAGTTATAAGGAATGAATTATTTCTTTTTTTAACTTGTCCACTAGATAATTTAGTAAATGGAAAACATGTACACTTTATTTTTCTCAAAAAAGATTGTTTTTAAATTAAATTTTGAAAATTATTTTACATTGATTATATATTTTTGAGTGAAATATGTGTGCGCTACATAACTGACAGATATAATTGAATTGTTATTTTCATTTGAAATGCTTATATTGTAGCTCCCATATCCCCACTCTGGAACACGTATAGCTATTTTGACCTAGGGTGTATTTTCTTTCATATTATCTCAAAGCATTCCTAATAGCAGATAACAATACTTGAATTAATTAGGGGACATTTGGGGAATCGTAAAATACGACAATAAAACAATAAATGTACGTTTTTCACTATATATAAATATTAAAAAATTAGACTTTAATAACATTCATTTTCATTGTAAAAATAAAGTTTAAATAAAGTTCAAGTTGATTATAAGTCTTTCAGGGATGCGTACATATGTATGTAAAGTCACTTAGTTTACAAGTTATCAGTTTTCAGGTTAATTATAGTCAATTGGATAATTTATTAAAAATTAAAAATCAAGGAAAATTATTTAACAATATATAAAATAAAAGGAAGTCAATATTTATTCATAAAATCTGAAATATATTAACAATATTTTATTAATTTATTAATTCTGTGAGAATTAATTAATCTTATCCAATTTATTTATCTGTACCTATTTTTATATGATAATAATCATTATATGAAATACATATATTTTCCAATTGAGAATTGTTATAATTTATTATTTGTTTTTACTATAAATATAATAATTTATTCTTCACCTTAATTTTCAATCAGTTTTTCTTTTTCTTTTTACTTATTCTTTTGAATGAAATAAAATGTTTAATAAGTGAAATATTACTACATACATTTGAATCTTGATTATAATAATAGATGATCACAATCACAGAAAGTTGACCACGGATAAGATAACGATTATAGTAATTTGCAAAAAAAATTCTAAATCCTCTATCACTTTTACACAGTCGGTGAAAGTTTTCATCTAAAATGGATTATACCAAACGTTATACAATCAAGGCAAATAATAGAATTCCCAATTTTATTAGTCTCATGGGTAATATTATAATTTTTCATAATTTTATCATGCAAAATGTAAAAAGAAAGATTAAATATTAATTTTTTATTCAAGTATTATTTGTAATTAACCTTTTAACAGTAATGAGAATTAATTATTATATATACTATATACAATTAATAAAAATTATTCTTTGAATAAATAAATGAAATTTTTATAACTAATATAATAATAATATAATTAATAAATAAATTTCAGCTCTAGCGCTCAATAAAAATCCGAGTGCAATATTTTTTGCCGGTGGCATGCCGAACACTCAAACTTTTCCATTTAAAGAAGTTAATGTTTCCTGTAAAGATGGCACATCTGTGAAATTGAAAGGACGTGATGTTGACGTGGCATTTCAATATGGACCCACAAAGGGGTAATAAATATTATTTCTTCTGGTCGATTATATTTTTTTTTAGGTACAATAATAATAATAATAATATTTTCAGATACCTACCACTGGTAGAAAAATGGCGAAATTTTCAAGAACAGTGGCACGCACCAAAATTTAATGATTGGGATGTTCATTTCACTGCTGGCTCTCAAGAAGGATGTAGTAAAATTTTTGAATTATTTATTAATAGCGGAGATTCTGTAATGGTACAAACACCAACTTACACAGCTACTTTGAGAGCGGTAAGTTTTTGTTTTAGCTGAATTTTAAAATGATGCAGTTCATATTTGACCGAACATGGTAAACTTAAACTATTAAAAATTATAAAAAAAATTGTCATCTGGTTGATGTTTGTTCGGACATTTTCAATTTCGGTCAAATAAAATACGCGGTAATTTGAGCCGCAGCGTGCAATAACAACATGTGGACAGGGGGATAGAATCTTGTCTTCTTATTGGCCCGGTCTAATTTCTACCGCGTAATGGTGATTCCACAAATGGAACGCGCGTCTGACGCGCGACAATTGATCGTACGTATACGGAGCAGTATACGTATTATGCGAGAGAGTCCGTCTGTTGAAGTACGGCTGGTTCCACAATGGGCTCGACGCAAGGTAAACGCAGCGTTGACGCGACGCATCCCAATGCTAATCAAATGGAGATGCGTCGCGTCAATGCTGCGTTTACCTTGCGTCAAGCCCATTGTGGAACCAGCCTACAGTTTGCTGTAGGTACGCTCCGTATACGTACGATCAATTGTCGCGCGTTCCATTTGTGGAATCACCATAACTCCAAGTAGATCCACATCGGCTGGGACCTACATCCCGAGCGTTGGTATTGTTGCACGCTGTAGCTCAATTTATTGACAGTTAGTCCGTAACGGTTATATATAAAGTTACAGTTACTTTAATTTGAAAAAGACTAATATTTTTAATTATTGCTTATGAAAAAAATGTATGGCAAAAATTATTTTCCAAAATTTTATATAGTTTATAAAAGCAGATTACAAATGAACCCTTTATGTCAATTTCTCTTGACAGAGGAAATGCAAATGTGACAGTCCCCGAGAGAAGGGACCTTAGCTCACCAGAGGTCAATATTGAGTTTTATATGGTAAATGATAGATTTTGAATTGCTTTTTCACATGCAAAAGTCAAAAACTGATTAGGATAATTGCTTTTGACACAATAACATTTTGAAGATGGGTATGTCAAGCGCATTTCGAGGCGGATTGTGGCACTCAAGAAATCAGCCCCACTACTTTACTTACACAACTATACTCTCGCGTACGTGAGCTTCGCGTACGTGAGACCCGAAGATACACGAAGTAGACGAAGCTCACGTATACAGAAACACAACGTTGTGTTAGTGTGGTGGGGGGACTTTTCAGAAGTTCCGCCCCACTCTTCGAGTTCCGCGTTTCTGCTTCTTCTTCAAACGCTTGCCCTGTGAAATTCGTTTTGGTGAGCTAAGGTCCCTTCTCTCGGGGACTGTCACAAATATTCTAAAACTCAATTATTCGTAACAATCGGGATTTGAATATTTCTGAAGATAACCAAGTTATTCTCAAACAAGGAACATTCCCGATTTTAATTCAGACTTTAATTTTGATTCTATCCAATAAAATGAGATAAAAATTTATTTTTTTAACATAAATATAGAAATTTTGAAGATATGTTTATTTAAAAATAAAAGAGAATAAAATGTGAGATTGAAACATTTGATCTGAAATTGACATTTTTTAAACTAATTGCAGATCATTCCACTGCAGCCGGAATTCATAGAAATTCATCAGGATGCAGAGGGAGTGAAACCTGAGGAAATTGAAAAAATTTGTAAAGAGAAACTTGAAGCCAAAAAGCCTTTGCCAAAAGTTAATACCTATACATTCAATTATTTTAAAAAATATTTAATTGTTTATCGTTAAAAAAAAATTAATTAAAAATTCCACTTCAACAGTTCCTTTACGTTAATCCAACTGGTGCCAATCCAACGGGAACAGTTTTGTCTGATAAAAGAAAAGAAAAAATCTACGAATTGGCACAAAAATACGATTTTCTCATTTTAGAAGATGATCCATATTATTTTCTTCATTTCTTGGACAAGCAACCACTTTCATTTTTATCAATGGATACAGACGGTCGTGTCGTTAGATTTGATTCATTTAGCAAAATTTTGAGCGCTGGTCTTCGATTGGGAGTTGTAACAGCCCACAAGGATATCCTTGAAAAAATGTCCTTACATATCCAATGCACAAGTCTTCATCCCTCTTCATTGTCACAGGTTTAATTTTAATTTATTATTTATATTAAATGTATTTAATTGACGATATTTAATTTGTCCATTTTATTATAATTGTCAATTTTATTTCTATAATTCAGAATTTTTTTTAACCTTTTTGGTTTTGTGAGTTTACTTTTTATATTGTACATAGTAATTTAAACGTGATTTTTTAAGGTATTTTTGAGTTATAATTTTGTTTTTTAAATTTAAAACAAACATTTTTTTGTATTTATAATTTTTTAAGTTAAAAAAAACTCGGCAGTTTATGAGCCTAAGAGCGATAGTGCTGATGATACAGAACAGAATGAATATTGTTATATTCAAAGTAAGGTAATTTTGTTATGCAGGTTTTGGTTTACAAGCTCTTTGAATCTTGGGATCAAGAGAAATTTGAAAATCACTTTAAAGATATTCAAGTTTTTTATCGTGAACGACGCGACATGATGCTATCTGCCATTGAAAAACATCTTACTGGTAAATAATTTTACTCTTTTTTTTAAAGTTCTATTGTTTCTTTATGATTTATGGAATTTTCTTTGTTTGATTTTTCGTTTGAGAAAATTATACCACAGAGAAGAATAATATTTCCTTGAATATAACAAATTTAAAGAAATGAATTAATTATAATTTTCCAATATTAATTTTACACTTTAATAATTTTAAAACAATACCTAATTCTCTTAATAAATTATAGAAGAAAAAAATAATAAATAAAAATTTTTAAGTGATTTTAATAATCATGGGTATATGTATATGTAGAAACATTATATTATATTAACATACAGGGTGTTCAAAAAATATGGAAACTTGCAAATATCTCGAAAAGTACGCATTTTCGTGAAAAATATTCAACAAAAAAGTTGTTCCCAACAAAAAGATGTGTACATTTTTTAACTCAAAAAATTGGGCCCGGGACCCAATAGTGAAAAAAGAAGTATCACGAAAATGCGTGATATACTTTCCGAGATATTTGCAAGTTTCCATACTTTTTGAACACCCTGTATATGTATAACTTGCGGCAAATTTACGTGCTATCTGATGGAAAAAGTAAAACAGATTAACAATAATATTAGAAATTAATAACATGTTTTTTAAATACTGATGATTAAATGAAAATTTTTTAAATATTTATGTACTTAGAATAATTTATGTAATAGTATTATCTAATAAGATTCTTCTTCAAGGTTTGGCTGAATGGACTACACCAACCGCTGGTATGTTTGTTTGGGTAAAAATAACAGTTTTAGATGATGTTTATGAAATGGTTATGAAACATTGCATAGATCAAGGAATTTACGTTCTTCCTGGACATACTTTTAATGCTGATGCTAGCATAAAATGTCAAAATATTCGATTATGTTACAGTTACGCTACTAAAGATGAAATCGAAAAGGTAAATACGTCATTTAAAAAAAAGCGCTTAGCAAAATTTTTATTTATTTATTTATAATATGCAGCGCACACAATTTTTAAGTATTATATATTAATTATTTACACAAAAAAGAAATTTTTCTAATATTCCTAATCAAATTAATTAATTTTACCCCTTGTGCCCATGCTTTTTTTTCTTTTTGTTTTGTTTAATTTAAAATTATGTTAATATTGGACTGCGAATCATATTCAAACTGATTTGAACCTAATTATATATTTTTCCAGGGACTTACTCTTTTAGCGAAAATCATTAAAGAAGAATCAGCCAAAAAGGAAAAATTCATCAACTCAGTTGGAAAAAAATAATAATTTTGTAAAAATATTAATAAAAACAATTGTTTTTTAATTCAAATTTTTATTGATTTCGCGCCAGTTTGTTGCGCATGCGTTCTTGTTAGTTGTTTTTCTATTTTCCAACCTATGCATGCAATTATTTTTGATTCACAACACTACTTCGTGTTCACAACAATGATAAGAATTTATTAAAATTTATAAGACAAATAAAAATATATAAAATATATATTTTCGATTAATTATTAACTAATATATGTATTTCAAAGAAAAGTGTTTCATTAAAGTATTTATTTCACTATAAAACATTGTTATATGAATGGATCTGGTGCAAGTATAAATATTACCAAATTATTCATCTTTTCATTATATTTTAAACTTCTTCCTCATTATGTACTTATATGAAATAGATTTTAATTTATTTGTTACTTAATTGCGGAGAAATATATGAAAATTTCGAATTTATCAATTTTGAGGTTATGTTGGTTTATTATTTGCAACAGTACATTTATATTTATTTTATTTTTCATTTATTCAAGAATATGAAAATAAAAATTGACTTAAAAATACCAATTTCATAAGAAATAAAATTCTTTTCAGAGATTAAATGCTCGATAAAATTTTTTTTACAACCTCTGTAAAAAAAATACACCAGGATATTTGTGATTAAAAAAAGAAACAATGTCCAAAATTTCAAGTGTCAATTTAGTGGAGAATGCAAATGACAATAATTCTCTTCTCAAGATGACGAAATTTGAAATTGAATTTGTCAATGTTAAAACTCTTCAGCACAATAATTATTGTGTCAAAGATGAAAGAATTAAATTTAAAAGTGAATTTATAGAAAAGGATAATTATGTAGGGGACATTTCTTGTTGTCCTGATGAGATTGAAAAGAATCTTGAAACTTTGTTAGTGAATGTGATTAATGAAAAAGATAATTTGCCAGCAAATGAACGTGAAATTGAATTTATAAATGTAAAAAATATTAATCGTGATCACATTCATTTGGAGGATGAACACAAATCTAAAGTTGCTGAAAAGAAAAAAGATGCTGATTCTAATTCTGAGATTGCTAATAATTCTATACTTGTGAAGGAAGAAAATATCGATGATGAAAATAAATCTGATGAAATTATAGAAATAGACACTGTTAAAAAAGAAATTAATAAAGTCTTTTTTGAAGAACACATAGAACCAAAAAGAATTAATAAGAAAATTCGACGAACCAATAAGGAAAAAAAATTTCGTTGCACATATCCTGGATGTAAAATTAAATTTGTTAAACCTTCTAAACTTAAAAGACACATTTGTATGCACACTGGAGAAGTATGTTGAATTTTTTTTTACAATTATTTTTCGCAAACTCTGACGAATTTAATGATTTATTACTAAATTTACGTTAAATATAAAACAAACATTTTTAATAAAATAAAATCTTAATAGATTTTAAATTATTCAAAAAAAATATTTAGAGAATTAGTTATTAATATTTTCAGAGAATTTTGCTAAAAATAATTAATTAAAATGTTTTTTAATGCAATTTTATGTTATATAAATTTATTCAAATTTAAATATAATTTTTTTCTAGAGACCATTTGCGTGCAACTTTAATGATTGTGATAAAGCTTATACAAATAATTCATATTTAATTAGACACAAACTGACTCATGGTGATATGAAAGAAAAATTTCTGTAAGTACTTAAAACTTGGACTTTATTTATTAATTAATTAAATAAATTTTGTTTTGTTTTGTTTTAGATGCTCGTATTGCAAAACAGCGTTTTCATCGCCGCAAAGTTTAAAACGACATTGTTCAAGTGTTCACGAGGATCCCCTGAAATTGCATCATTTTAAGCGAAAATGTACTGAATGTCACTTTACGTGTCTAACGCGAAAAATATTAAGCAAACACATGATGGAATCACACAAACGAAATTTGTATCAATGCAGTTTTTGTCCAAAATCATTTACCGAACCATCGTCATTACATCGTCATCTCAAATCGAATATGCATAAAACATTTACATGCAAAATTTGCTTTCAATCCTTTGATAAACATGTGGAATTTCGAGAACACAAAAAGGAGCACATTGTCGTCTACAAAGGTATGATGTTGCAAATTTTTTGTTTTTTACGAAAAAAAATGTTTACAAAAATTTCTTTTCTTTATTTTTGTTTTTTTAATTATTTTTCTTTTTATACTTATTATTTTATTTCTTTTCCACAGAGTTCACGTGCGGCATTTGTGGGTTAAAATTTAATCACAAGGGTAATTTGCGTCTTCATTTACAAGGACACGAAAGTTCAAATATTTTTGTCTGCTCATACGATGGTTGTAACCGTGTTTATTGTTTTCAACGTAATTTAGATACGCACATTCTCTCTTATCATTTGGGCAAAAAATGGGAATGTCATTTGTGTCCAATGAAATTGTCGTCGAAACAAAAATTAAATGGACACATTGAAAAAATTCACTTGAATCCTGTACCGCGAAAGCCACAGCCAACAAAGGAAAATCGTAAACGACGACGTGATATTGGAATACCGAGAAAAAGTGCAATATCACAAATTTGCGGTATATTATTGCCGCCGGAAACGGAGAAAATAATTATCTATCGTCACGATATTAAATGCGAACAACCGTAGAAACTTTTTTCTTTTTTTTCATTTTCAGAATTGTTTGAAATCTTTAAATTCAACATTTTTGTCCAAGTTTTATGGTTTTTTCGTAATCTCGAAATTGTAGATAAATAAAACAATATATTGTATATATTTATATATGTATATATAATTTAAGTAAATTATCAAATTGTATAAAATAAATTGTATTTCGAAAAACCTGCCAACATTCATTTTTTTCTGATAAATATATTTAGGCTTACAGGCAAAATTTCTGCTATTGAGCGGTGTTTGAAACACTATAATATTTGAATTTACCACCATTACTTCAACAGCTCAAATCGTTCCATTGTATTTGACAGAAATCAGCTGTTCCATCGTTTAGAATACATAAATTTTGGTGTATTTTACAATAGACTAATTATATTGATTTATACAACAATTTCAACAAATTATCTTCGCAATATTTATACAAACATGATTCTCACTAATATTAGAAATTACAAAAAGGAAGCCATTATCTCATTTTCGTCCCTAACCTAAAATTCAACAATAAAATATGTAATGCATCAAATTTCAAAAGAATTATAGACTATAGTAAAATATTTTCCAGTATATAAAAAGTGAGTAAATATTACATAAAATTATTTGATTTATCGCTAAAATTCGACTTTTATTTTCCCAACATATTTATCTTAATTTTTTTCTGTTGTTTCTATTTAACTTTATTTTTTGTTTATAGTAGTCATATTTTTTTGATTAGATAAAACTATGATATAAAATGTAAAATTATTAATATTAAGGGATCATTGCATGTTCAAATTATTGTTCCTTTATAACAAATAAAATTGCTAATTTTAAAAAAGCTGAGTGTTATAATGAGGATTTCGCAAAACTTAGTAAGCTTAAAAAGTATAAGAAAATAAATACACAATAAATAAACCTTATTTTTATATTTACAAAAAAGTCTTGGAATCATTAATGTTTTTCATTAGAATTGTTTTATTTTGACAAAATAACGTATTTCGTTTATGTTGCGACGAATGATGAAAATTTGAATTCCAAGTCTTCTCTGTAAATATAGAAAAATAAGAAAATATTTAAGTGAGTACTGGTAATTTGCGTAACATAAAAATTACCAGTGAAGCGAAGGTAATTTAATAGTTATTTTTACAATACGGGTATTTATGGATATTTTAGTCTTGAAATGAATTTTTTCAATTTTATAACTGCAGCTGTAATTTTAGTATATAATCAAGAAACATGAAACCCGAGGAAATTCTTGAAAATATTTTTGGAAAAGATTGTTTGGACTTTTCGGAGACATTGAGTACAACTAAATTAAAGGATAGCAATGCAACATTATCCAGGTTTAATTTTTGTCAATATTTTATTTGAAAAAGAAGTTATTGAAAATTTTATATCAATTATTATTATTGTTTATTACTTATTATGAACCGTTAATAAAAATGATATTTGTTTTTTTCTGTCAAGGTCCGTTCAAAGTGTAAATTTGATGGAACAGTACATAAAGTCAACTTTGTCGAAGAAAAAAGTGTTGGAAAATTCGAAAGATACACGCATAGGTCGATTGGGTCCAGATATTGTAAAATTTGAAGTTTCTAGTGCACCAGGACTTTATCATTTGTCACCCGATCGTCTTAGTGTCAATTCTCAGGGAACATTTAGTACAATTCGAGCCAATGTGGCCGTTTTTAAGGGAAAATGGATTTATGAATTGCAACTCGGGACAAAAGGCATTATGCAAGTTGGTTGGGGAACTTCCAAAAGTAAATTCAATCAAGTCGCTGGAGTTGGTAAAATTTTTCTCTTACTTAGTTTCTTTCAACAATAAATTCTTTTCTGATATTTCAATTTTTTCATTAATTCATAGAAATTTCTTTTTTTATACATATACATATGTATTATATATATTAAATAAATTTTTTTATTTTATAAGTATTATAAAATATATATTGTACACTGAATAAATTCAAGTTAAAGAATCCGATTTTAGGTGACGATCCATGTTCGTACGCATACGACGGGAATCGAATTAAAAAATGGAATGTTGCACCGGAAAAATATGGAGAGCCATGGTTGTCGGGTGATATAATTGGTTGTGCTCTCGACATGAGTATAGGGACAATTGATTTCTATAGAAATGGACGAGCATTAGGTCGTGCCTTTGAAAATGTCACAATGGGTTCTGGTTGTGCGTATTTTCCAACAGTTAGTTTGGCATTGAGCGAAAATTTAACGGCAAATTTTGGCGCTACACCTCTTCATTATCCTGTCGACGGTTATGAGACACTTGAAGCATTACCGCGCGAGCAACTCGATAAAGCGACTCTGCTCTATAAATGGTTTGCAAATCTTATCGAGCAAATTCGTCAAATGAAGGAGTCGCCGGGTAAATATTTCACTGGCGACAATGCAATGAGTGTTCGCGCTTTTCTCGTTTGTCTCGCTAGATTGATTCTAAAACATCTCGGACCACTTCTCAAGTAGGGAAAAAGAATTGAAAATAAATTTTTCTTTTTCTTTTCTTTGTTGATTTAAATTATATTATTTTGAAAATGTCCTTTGTTTATATCGGTTTATTTTTATTTATTATTTAATATTAATTCCAGTTTTTTAAAATTAAAATTACTGTTATTAATAACGATTTTTTTTTCTAGGGAACCATACGTGACAGTTGCACTTTTCGTCCCATTCGTGAGGCGACTTTGTGGAATCAAAAAGGAATCGGCATTAAATTTAGTAAAAAAGAAAGAAAGTGGCGAGTGTGAATTGATGATTTGTCTCGATTTATTGTGGACATTCTTGGAATCGCAGGAAATTCAAGCATGTCTCGAAAGTACAGTAATATATTTGTTGTCTGAATTTCGTCATGTTTCATTACTTTTGGAATATCCGGATCAATGTAAAAGTCTCGCATTATTGACTTGCTTTTGTCGACACGCAAGAACACGTCGACATTTATTGCAAAATGTTCTCTTTGATCGCGTTCGTTTCGCGAATTTTGTTCATGTGAAGCCTCTCGATGAAATTGGCTTGGCCGAAGTTGTCAGCGAGACTTGGTGGGAAACCGAACCAATTGATCCACATGTTGAGGAAAATAACGAACGATATCAGCGGGCCTGCGAATTAATCGAGTCCTCAGTTTCCGGTAACAAGTTTTTATACTTTTTTATGCCAATTATAAATATTCCAGTTATAAAATGAAAAAAAATATTTTAAAAATTATACTTTCCCAATTTTTTCTCATAGAAGTGGAAGCGTTGCAAGTGGAATTGCTAGTCACGCTTTTGGACAATAGCGATGGAACAGAAAAATTACCAACGTCGCGAACGATTTTTCTGCGGAAATTTCGAAGTTTTGTGCACGAAAATTTGATCTCAATTCGGGTACGTTTTAAATCTTGGATCAAAATTTTAAACATCAATTCTGAAAAATTATTTCCAAATAAAAAAAGAAAAAAACATTTAAAAACAACCTTTCAATACTTGGCGGCGTGGTAAAATGTTTTCTGATTTTGTGGCATTCTCTTGTTCGATTTATACTATTAATAGGTACCTAAATATTTTTAGTTTTTAATTAAAAACAAAAAATAAATCAAGTTGTTAATGTTTCTTTTAGGGCGTTTTTCAGACGATTCCAGCACTGAAAACTCCATTGCCAATTACTCTTTGTTGCTTTCATCGACTACTGGTCGCTTTTCGTATTCTCTGGGACGCGGAAGTTGGCACAAATCCCGTCTGCATTCCCTGCAGGTTTTTACAAATTTGCATTTATTTCTATTTAAAAATATTGTCTAATTATCGTCAACTTTAATTTTTTAGAACATTTTACGATGGATCGGTGAATTACAGTGGAATCGATCGACTCGGTGGTGTAATATCGCACTTGAATAAAACTTATCGAAACGAATTGGTGCATCTATTGGGTCCGGAACATGAGATTGTCCTGGGCCTTGAACAAAGTCAAGAAACAACGTCAACTTTTGTGGGAACATCAAATCGAATTGCCGATATGCCTGTAATAATTCCAGCAGTCGCACGGATCTTTAATATGGGTAATAGCGTAGTTCCTTTGTGGGAAAGACTCGGCTATTTTCCCTACAGTCGCGAGGATAGATCACCGATGCGCCTTGGTCCCGCAAATCCTGCACTATCGCTACTCGAATTACTCGATGGAATTGTGCTATTTTTTCATGTTGCCGCGAAAAAGCAAATCGCAAAAGTCGCCAGTCTTCGTGACAGTATGGACGAGTACATCAAGGCAATGGGAGAAATAAAGTCACGATTGAAAATTGTCGAAAAGAAAGCCGATCCTGAATCGGAAACCGTTCGCGAACAGCTGCTCAGGTATTTTATTTTGAAAAAATTTTAAATAAATGAAAAAAGTAAAATTATAAATTGAGAATGTTTTTTGAAATAATTCTTATTTCCAGGACAATGGAGATTTTTGACACGAAACTCGCAGAACAAGCGCGACACATGGCATGGGTACGAGCTGCGGTTTACACCAAAGAGAAACAATTGCAATTATCCTGGCTCTTGAAGTCAATTCTCTTGACATTGAGAACAGCAAGCGAGGAGGGTGATATGTTCAGTTTTGTGCCGGATTTCTATCTCGAGGCATTGGCCGATTTAAGTCTTGGACTTCGATCGCACGTTCATCCAACTGTGCCAATTGAAAAAATTCCCCAGTATCGGGAAATATTACGCGATGTGGCGCAGTTTTTGTGTGATCATTTTCTTGATTCCCGAATTGTTCAGGCAAATGCAAAGGACACATTGGTATTGACACTGGCATCATTTGTCTCTAAACCCTTAACTCTAAACGCAATGGAAAGTGTCGCCGAGGAATCAAAAATGAATGTTGTCGCAAGTTTATTGCGTCCCTATGAGAATCGTGCCTGGGCGCAATCTAACTGGATTTTGGTTCGTTTCTGGCAGGGAAATGGTTTTGCATTTCGGTACAAAGTCAGTCCTCACATGGAGCACAAGGTTGGACCGAAAATTTTTCCTCAGGAGTCGATCTCGCAATCGATCAGTAAGAATAATAAAATTATGGTCACACTTTAATCTCGCGCTTTGATGAAAGTTCGTAAATTACTCTTCTTTGCTGCTTAGAGTTTTTCTTTTTTCTTGCATTTCCTCTTAATTCTATTACCTCTATAAATTTTTTAAATTTCAGAGCCTTGCCCGTCTTCTTTGTTTCAAAAGCATGTACGAGATGCTTTGCTCAATAATTCACAGAGATCGATGCAATTCATTAATTCACTGTTAAATCAATTGAATTGGGCTTTTTCGGAATTTATTGGTATGATACAAGAAATTCACAATGCATCATTACGACCCGATACCGTTTTCATTGAGTCACGACAATTAAAAGTGGGTGCCACTTGTTTTGAATTAGCAATTTCGTTGCTCAGAGTTTTGGAAATGTTCGCCACTATCGCCAAAATTGTTTTCACCGATAATTTATTGGCTCGACTTTGTCAGGTTAGGAAATTCTCTTTAACTTTTGCATAAAGAAGGAAAATTTAATATAATTATACACAATCATAAAAAAATAAATTATTAACTTTCAAAAGTATTTTTTTAAATTTCAGCTATTGTGCAACATTTTGAACAGAGTGAGTTCACAGACAAGCAGCTTTCAACATGTGGTGTTAATGGCAATTCCCGATCTGGATAAGGTCGATCATTTTCCAATATTGGCGGTTGTAATAGGCATTTTATTGGCTCTCCTGGAGGAAGAAATAAATGACGTTTCCAGTGCGTATTAATCCAATCTTTTAATTTTTTTACACTATTATTTTTTGTAATAAAAGAAAGAAAAACAAATTACAAAGATTAACATCAGTTAAAAGGAACATCAATATATGTAAGAGTTAACATACATTATACATAATCAGTTTCTTTCTGTATTTTATACTTTTTTTGTTGTAAGTTATTTTGAAAATTATATTTTTCTTTTATTGTGCGTTTAATTCTGTTATTATTTTATTGTTTTTACTTTTTCTCATTTAAAAGTAATTTTGACAAGAATTAAATGTAAATTTTTTTTTAATTTACAGAAAATGGAGAAATGTCCAGAATTACAAAAACTTTACTGTTGGAACCGAGTTTTCAAATGAGCTCTCTCAGTTACGTTCTAGGCGAGTCAAAAACTAAGAACCAAAAATCGAAAAACGTCAAGCCTTTTTCATTCGCCGACTGTAAGTGTTTCGCTTTAATTAAACAGTTAGGTTAAATTTTTTTTCTTGCATCATTTGGGTCCTAAAAACATACAGGATGGTAAAAAAATAAAAAATTCCCACCATGTTTTCAGATAAAAATGACGTGACCGAAGAGGAAATCACGCGGGTGCGATTAATGATCGACTATTTGGATCGAGTGAATCGAAATTTGCCAGAGACAAAATTGACGAGTGACGATGAAAATACCTGTACAATTTGTTATGCATTTCCAATTGCCGCGATATTCAAGCCGTGCAATCATCAATCGTGTCGTGCTTGCATCGATCACCATCTATTGAATAGTAGAGAATGTTTTTTCTGTAAGACAAATATCGAAAAAGTCATTGATCTCGAACATATTATTATTCATGATTTCACTCAAAATTCAATCTCGTGATCTCAACGAAATTCTCAATCAATATCGAAGTCTATTTTTTTTAGACCCTGGTGTAAATAATAATGAGAAGGTAATGTTCTATAAACCAAAGAGAGAGAAGGAGAGAGAGAAATTGTATCACAAGTACTTACGAGTCGAATTAATTGGAAATTTGAAACCAAAGCTTACACCTTAAAGAATGTAGAGAAAAAAAGAATATTTAAAGTATTAAAAATATACAACGAAAGTTATGAGATATTTTATTTGCTCAATTTTATTTTAAACAGAAAAGCCTTCTCTGTTACACAAAATAAGTATGTATTTAATTTTTTGTTTTGCAATATAAACGGACTTAGAAAAATAAAAAATTTCCTTTCGCATAAAATAGTACATAATATACATAATTTGGAAAAAGTAACAAAAAAATAGATTAGGCTGCGTTATTAATTTTCACATTTTTGTCGATTCTTTAATAGACAGATTTTAAAAATCTAATCACTATCTGGCATCAGATTTTGAAAATACAATTTGGCGAATCTAATATCGTAAACGTGGTCATAAATATCAATAAAAATATTAGTAAAACCAAAAAGTACTATATATATTAAAATTCAAAAATATTATAATAGGAATCTAACACGACGATTTTAAACGCATAAACTTTTGCCTAATGAGATTCTGAGACTGGAAACGAGAGTTTTCTTAAGAGAAGATTGCCTCATCATAAGATCCTGGAGCGCTTCAACAAAAACAATTCCACAGACAAATGCACCGAGTGCCGTAATTATGACAGAAAGAAAAATCATTACACGATTTTTGTTCATAAAAAGTTGTGGATCACGCTTCAATGTACTTTGGAGGAGGCAAATTCCAGGGAAAAGGAAAATAAATGCCGCTGACAATGAACCAAGTAAATTAATAACTGGCGTAATGTCAGGCACTAAAATTGCAATGACCAAAGTCAAAAAGAACCAAACTAGAGTCAAAATAATTCGTGACACGACATGTGTATCAATGTCCCAGCCCAATAGTCCCATAAATGCGTCTCGTCCACAATACAATACAATTGGATATGTCGTGAAATTTTTTACAGCAACGGCAATTATTGCTATCGTTAGTGTTGCACTTTTATCGGTGTAACCTTGTAAAATATCGCTAGGCACATTTCCGGCGCCGAAAGTCATGTATCCAAAAGTTCCAACAATTGAATAAGCGAAGAAACAAATAATCATACTAATTATTGCACACCAGCTAAATTTGCTTAATTGTCTTTCTTTCATGCAGGCATACGTTGGTATTGCCGTCATGTGACTCTGAAATTTGAAAAATTCCATTTATTATTATTTATAAATATGGCTCAAAATACTGATTTCATATTAAAAAAATTTCATCGATATTTGCGACATATGTGGAGGGCGAGTTTTTACGGGAAAATTGTGTTTCTTGGGTATAGACTAAAAATATAAACTGGTGAATATTTTGAAAATTTTTTAAAACGATAATTAAAAGGTAGAAATTTAGTTAGCAAATTCAACACTTGAAGGGCTTGAGGAGTCAATTTAAATTTAATACTTATAAATTGACATTATTTTTCCTCATAAATAATGATTCTATTCAAATAATTATTTTTGTTTTATATTTACAAAAATTTTAATTTCCCACCAGATGCGCAGCATATTAATTTGTCTGCTGCGTAACACACGAGTCAAATTTATAACTAATTTTAGCATTGCTTCTCTTGGAAAATAGTAAATAGTATTAATTTTTTGCGATATTTTCTGTTTATATAACCTAAATATTACAAATGTGAAAAAACTATTTTTTTAAACTCACTAACAGTTGTAAAATGCAATTTGACATTCGGTATCGGTATTAAACTTGACTACCAACCTGTCTTTAGCGTCAGTTGTTGGTCTTTTTCAATGGTCGTGTGACAATACGAATACTTTTTTGGACCCTATATTTTTATCTCAATTCAGAAGTAATTTCAAGATTAACATAAATAACTTGCTTCCAAAAATAGATGAAATGCATTATAAATCATTGTAAATAATGAACGGAAAAATTATATACATATATATATATATATATATGTGTGTGTGTGTTAATTGAAACTATATTTCATTGCTTATTCTTTGTGTAATTTTTTAAGGTTTTATGAATAAGCCATTTTTTACCTGATAAGCGAAGCAGATTATTGGAACAATTTGAAGCGGTTCCGTCAGAGTTCCTGGCCAAATATGAATTGTTTTTTTCGAGAATTTATTGTCAATAAAACATTCATAAATAACCATCCAAACGACATAGATAATTGTCAAACATCCAATGGAACTCGCATAGCTTAAAACGTCCAAACGTTTAAAAAACGAAAGTGGCAAAATAAACACGAGAGCCGTGACACTCGTTATAAATGGTCTCGATAAATACCTAAAATTATTAATTAAAATATAATAAAATTTATATTTAGAATTCTAATATGTAATGAATTAGTAAATTGACAATTAGAAAGTAATTTTTAAAAAAAATTCAAAGTTTTTACAAAAAAAATTTTGAATCATATTTTTTTAGATTTTTTTTACCAATTGTGACAATAGTCCATTCCGTAGAAAGTGGCGAAAACTCGATCGAATTGATCACCGATAATTATGAGAAATGTCAAACAGCATCCAAAACTGTAAATTGCCACACAAACGCCACAGATAATTAATGATTTTGGTCCACAAAGTCCGGCAAATGTATTTTGCATTGTACACGTGTCTGTGATGTCGCTACAATTTGCGAGGACAACTAAGGCCGATGTGATAAAAATTAAGAAAAATAATTGTACAATTATTGCAGTAGCAATTCCACCAGATTTGTCGAAAGCCTCAGGAAAATTTAGGAGACCAGCACCTAAAGTTGCATTAACGATGAGAAAAATCGTTCCAAGCGAACCGGTACCTAAAAAATAATTTTTTTTATTCATTACGTTTTTTATAATTTATTTACAAGAAAAATTAATACCATTTCGATTTAAATTATTGTTCCTTGTAGCGGAAGAAAATTCATCGGAATCATTGATAATTGGCCGATTAATTAAATCCTGGTTATCGTTGTTTAGGGAATTCATTTTCTTTCTTTTTTCTTTCAAAACAAATTTTAAATGTGTCTCATATAAAATCGAAGATTCTTTAATTTCCGTCAATTTCAAATGTGATAACTATGTATGAGTCAATAATAATGAACAAAGCAAGTAACTCGAGCATTATTATCGTGTGTAGCCTGAAATAATGAAACCCAGAAAACAGATATATATAATAAAACACGTGGTTCATAGGTCAAGCGCGCCATATATTTGTTGTAGCTTTGTGTGGTGAGCAAAATATTTCGCTTCTATATTGCATATATTTTTTGTTTTTAATCTCGTATGAAAATTTAATACATTAGTTTTTTTTATTTCGAGACCTACTAATATTTTTTGACAATTCGAAATTAAAATTGTTTCAGGGCAGAAAGACAGTTAATTATTTTAGATTTTTTGTCAAAAAATAAATCAATAATAATTTGTACCTACAATATTGCTTGATTTCTCATAAAATATTATACTTGCCAACAATTTTTGAATTTTCGACACTATTTCATATGTTTTGTCATTTTTTATGACTTTATTATTGTTATAATTTCATACATCTTTATAGTATAGTATTTTATAATTTACAGTAAAACCCCGTTTATCCGAGGTGGTGTCCCAGTAGGGAATTCTGCATTATCCGAGTCTATTCCTCGTCATCCGAGTTATTTTTAATTTTAGTTTTTTATAAATATGAGTTTATTTTTAATAAATTCAAATTGTTTAAATTATTATGGAATATTTACAATATTATTTTCCTGTTTGTATTAAATAATAATAATGTTAAATTGTAATAAATATTTAACAATTCGGATTATCCGAGTTTTCGCCTTATCCGAGAGGTAGGTCCGGTCCACATTAGCTCGGAAAACCGGAGTCCTACTGTATCTATTATCCATTATTTATTTTATTTTTAATTATTCATTATAAAGTATTATTTTATTTGTTCACCTGCGACATCGCCTGTAACGTTCTCGCAATTTTTCGCAAAAAAATGAAACATTTTTTTTAAGTAGAAATTTTGGGCTCTGAAAAGATTCTGAACTTGGAGTTTTTTATGAATTCGATTATTTTGTTACAAAGTTATTACAAATTTTAAAAAAATTTTATGATTCGCTGTCAAATTTTCAATAAAAAATGTCATTTTTTTTCTTCTCATTCAATATAATTAAAATTAACTGCAAATGTTGCTAGGGGAGAGCGGGGCAAAGACGCTAATGTAACGTTTATTTTTAAATATTTTCGTTATTACACCATCAATTTACGTGATTTTTTTTCTAATTAATTTCAAACTAATTAACAACAAATTTTAATAATAATTCTTTAATTTATTATAAGCATGATTATTTAATTTAATTATTTTCAAGAAGATGCAAAAAAAACGGCTTTGCCCCTTATGGCGGGGCAGCGACGTTTTTGCTTATATTTTTAAAAGGAAGAAAATTGTAGCCGTTAAAACTGTACGAACTTGCAGTAAATGGCCGAATATCTTTGAAACATAAGTATTTAGTACATTTTTAAAAGAATTTTAGTAATTAAAAAAAAAAATCATTACTTGTATTTTTAACATCACATTTTGAATTCGATTCTTCACTGTTTCATTAAAATATCTACTTTACCATCTATTCAAATTGAAAAACAATTGAAATAACCGCGCGAAAATATAATGAAATAAAAAATAGAGTTACATTAGTGGCTTTGCCTCGCTTTTCCCTACGTCCTTACGGACATGTAAAAAAGAGTCAGTATTAAACTAACCCCTTTACCCCTCATCTAGTGAGAAGACTATTGGAAAGACAAATCTCCCCCTACTCATTCCAATCTTGGATATTTTTTAACGCTCGAAAATCACTCCAATTTGGCAATTGTTCTTTATTTATTATTCCCAATTTCACAAGTCCCAAATTTAAAATGTTTCTACCCGCGTTTACATCACGATTCCATGAGATTTTACATGATGCACAATAAGCTGTTCTGTTTCTGAAAATGTCCATGTTTTCGTTGCAAGTGCTGCAAAGTTTTGTGGTTCGATGTTCATCGATAAAAACAATTCGTAAATTTGGATATTTAGATTGCTTTTCGATTAATCTCCTCACAACTTTTCTTAACGGCATCCGCACGTGGCCACGCATCCATGGTGATATTTCAGGTGATCCAATCACCAACAGTTGTTTCCTCTTTACATCGCCAACCATGTAATTTGCTAAGAGATCTGTTTCACGTTGTACTGACATGTACTTGTCCCATTTCAAAGCCGCTATTTTTCGTTTTTCAAAATAAGGTTGGTTTCGTTTTAGCGCTGTCAATAAATATTCTGTTGATATTAAAATTTGTTGAGGATCTTTGTGATTTACTTTGTCACGATATTTTTCACTTACTTGCAAATCGTGATAATATTTTTTATAATTTTTTGTCTCATTATAAAGAATGCTTTGTCTCTTATTCTCCTGAGTTTGCCATCTGTAAGATTTTGTAGAAATTTTTATATGTTTATCTATACATTTAATATCGAAATTATCATTCATTTTTCTTTCTACTCCAGCAAATCCAAATTTCAAACCTGGGTCAAGACCCTTGAACACTTCATATTTTGTTAAATCTCGCGATTCTTGTTGCTGTAAAGGAGAAAAATTTGTTATATTTTTTGGTTTAACAAGATTATAAATTACAGACACAGCCACACCATCCGTCATTATTGTTTTGGAAAATTTCAATTTCTCTTTGTTGACTTGTATTTTAGATATGTCAAACATGTTGTTCCATCTTTCATCATTTTCATTAATTTTCTCCGGACGTCGTTGATTTTTAATGTCTTGATGTCGTTTGTTCTCCAATTGTATTTCCTTTTTGATTGGAGTCAATTTTTTTGTAATTTCTTTTATTTGATTTTTTATGTTTGACAATTCTTCTGAATTTTTTGGATTATTTGCTTTTTCCAAATATTGAAAATTTCTTTCCAAACCAATTTTTTCAGCATGCAGCAACTTTGATTTTTCTTTTAATGGCGAAATAATGTCTTTGTGCATGAGTTCTTGTGCTGTAATTTCATTGACGGTAAACTTTTCCGGTGCTTTTTTAGTACATGTATAATCTGGTGCTACTTTTTTCAATTCATTTTCCAACAGTTTTAACGCCGTATTCGTGTACGTTATGTACTTTAGACCAGGACTCATGATTGGTACAAGAATAAAACTTTTGATTCCTTCACGTGCAAAATAATCTTGTAAACGATGAAAAAATATAAAAAATTTGTGACATTCCTTTCTTCTTTTAAGATCTCGAAAATCCAAATTTTCCAAATTCAAGGCCTTCAGAGTTTCATTATCACATTCATTGTATTTGAGAAGATTGTCAAGTTTTGTTTTAATGATTTTCCTATGATTCAATTCTTCCTCCTCTTCATTGTCCTGCACTTTTTTTGTGGCCTCTTTAGAATTAATAATTTTACTTTTTTTTGTCGATGGCTTCGATGATTTATTCTTACGTGATGGTTTTTCCCAGTTTTTGTTGTTTTTTTTTAATGTTAAACGTTCTCGATATTTTTTACCTCTATTTTTGCCTTTTGGAGGTAAATCATAAACAATTTGTCTTTGTATTATATCGCGATTTTGTTTTAATTTTTTAACGTTTCTAAAAATTAATTTTTCCACATGCGGCTCATAGGGATGTAACCTTTCTAATTCAGCACGTCTTGCTCTTCTTTCTTCTCGATACAGTTGTTTTATTTTTTTCTTTTTTTTTGCCCACTTCTCCCTTTTTTTCTTGTTACGTAATCTACGAATTAATTTTTTTTCACGGTAAACTCTTGTTCGCTCCTGTTGGCGTTCTGTAGTTTCCTTTTTATTCAATTTCATTGTAGATTTGTTTTTTTTAAATAATTCATGTTTGAAGAACGTAGCAAGTCGACTCCTGGCATGATAATGAAGATTTGTCAAGTAATTGACATTTAATTGAATTGCCATTTCCTGTATTTGAGAAGAGAGATTTGTGCAATTAAATAATTCAAATTTGCCACCCATGAACTCACTAAACTGAGGAATAAATTCATTTTTCAATTTATTATGCATTTCTTTTTTTGCATCAGTTCTTGGTTCTGTAGAATTTTCTTTAAACAACGGAAATATTGAATTATAATCGGGACCTTGTTCGGACCAGATTTTACGTAAATAATCATTTGTGGGATGACGAAGTGCAAAGTTTATAAAAATTGTAACCAATATAGTCATTCTCGATAGCACTTTCACTTGATTAATGACCAAATCCCGAAGTTCTGGACAGCAACAAAAAGAATCAGAAAAACCAGTCTTTATCGTAAATTTTGTTTGAAGTTTTAAATCTTCATCATCATCATCATCATCATCATCATCATCGTCGTTGTCGTCTACTGCTGTTGTTGATGATTTATCGACTTTTTGAGGTGTTTCTTTTTTGTTTTTCAATGATTGTTTTTTGGGAGTCTTTTTACGGGTATTCTGTATTTTATCAGTAGTTTTCTTCATTGACTTCTTTGTGACCATTGATATAAATGAAACTGCATCTTGTACATCAGCTTGTTTACTTGTTGACGGTTGTGGTTCGTTGGCATAATTTTTTTGTGTCGATAACGATTTTGGTAATTCAAATTTCTCTGTTGGCGTGTTTTTTTCATTTTCAGCTTCGTTTGTTGTTTTTTCGCTTCTTTTATCACTGCCTAAATTTAATTTAAATCGCTTCCTTGGAATTGGACAGCGTTGAAATTCATTTTCTTCACCCAAATCGCCAGATTCACTTGATTCAATATTTAAAAGATTTAAATTTTTTTGCCACGACAAAGTTCTATCGTCATTGTTGATGTTTGATATAAAAGGCTGAGAATTGTCATTAATTGACATTACAGTATTTTCGTCGTTAAGAAAAGGTTGCTCAGGTTGTCGATGATCAGCGGAGATGTCTTCTTGAAGAGATTGATCTTGACGGTAAACAAAATTGAAACTTGGCAATGCATTTGGCTCTTGATTTAAATGTGCGTCTTGTTGAAGAGGAAACAACTGTT